GAATTACAAGATACTGAGTAGGAAATAAATCATAATGTCAGGACCAAATGCCATTTTCTTGCTTGGTGTGATTTGCAGCATCCCAGTCAGGCCGATAGATTTCGTTCCCTCACGCAGGATTCTCCCCTTTAATTGAATTATGCCCCGGCGAGCGAATGGGATTCATTCTCTGAGATACAAGGAAATTACCATTTGATGAAACAATGCTTTACTCCTCGCTCACCTGCACAAACATCCTTCAGGAAAGCTATTATGCAGATATCCTTGATTACAGACTATTGTTCCTTCTGATCTCCATTTGGTGTGTCACAGCCAGGGATGTGCCACCACCCAGGATTGTACTGGGAACACACAGAGCATCTGAACTGCCCTGGGCAGGGTTTGCTGCCTGCTCCCTCAGACCCTCAAAAGGGCGTTCTGGTTCCAGTCCATTAAAATTCTCTCTGCTGCAGGAGGACAATTGACAGGCAGGTACAGTCAGTGCATTGCTGGGTGTGCCACAGCATCTTCAGTCACTCCTCAGGGGTGGGGCATTGCGGGATAATTAATGCTAATGACCGCCAGGAACCCCGTTTCCTGCTGCATCACTAACTGGGGTGATCGGAAGGGATGGAGAGATTTCTTTGCTCACATCTGTGTCCCTGCCACAGGTGAGGAGGGGAGGGTTGCAGTCACTGCAGTTCCAGATCTGGAGGATTGACTCCTGTCACTGCAGCCACAGGCCTTTGAGGTGCGTTCCTTGGGCTTGGAGTGTTCAGTGATCTTTGTCTGGAATTCAAACTTGCACTTAATTCCTGGTGCTCACAGCTGAGAGGAAATGGAGAGCCTCGAGAAGGCAAGGGGGAGAAGCCAGTCCACATAATCATGAATTTCCAGCTGATGCCATGGTCTGGGAGGGGAAAGGCTGACCCCTGAGCCTCGTGCTCCTGGGGCCAGCAACACTGAGCTGTCTCTGCAGGAGACAGCTGACTTGTGGAGGAAATGCATAATGTCCTTAAAATGACAGATTAATTACCTTGAATAAATTGGCCTTGACAAGCTGCGAAGGTTTTAAAACCACTTTCTCCGAGCCCTGAGCATGTGCCCAGCAATGCAGGTCCCCCTTTCTGGACGGGCTTGCTCGAGTGGGCTTCTAGTGGTGTTTGAAACACGAGCTGGGAACAAAATCTGTCTCAATCTACGAGGTGGAGGGGTGGCAACTAATCACATTACAGTGATGCCGTTTCTAATTAATTTATTGGGAGCAGCCACTGCTCTGTGCTGTAATTATCAAGCCTGTGCTGTGCAGGAGCTGCAGTGACTATACAGAGATCTGTCTGTGTGTGGGCAGGTACTGGGGGCAGAGGCCGGGGCTCACCCTGGCTTTGGTGGGATCCCTGGAGCTCGGAGCTGCCTGGGCACCTGCACCCCGTGGCTGGAGTGAGCCTGGCTGCTGGGATCGACTTAGTGCCTCCACACTGGTGAGGATCATGGAGTAATTCTGATTTCCCAGGGCAGCAGCCTCGGTGCTCATTTACACGCCCCTGTTAGCACAGGTTCCTCGGTGGGGTGTTCTGCTGCCTCTGCACTAAACTGCTGGTTTGCTGGGATGTGGGTCCCACCCTGCCAGTAGCTTTCCACGGTGCTTCCAGGTGGGAGAGTGAAGCAGGAGGTCCCAGCCCAGCTGTGTTCCTGCCCCTCAGGAGCCGTGTGCCGGCGGGAATAGTGCAGGAGCTTTGGGTGCCACCACTGCCAGCACACACCGGGGGCTCCATTTGATTCCGCACAATAAAACCCGTGTTTGGCTCCCAGTCTAGAAACAGCCTTTGGAGAGAGATTGGGCTTTGGCTCGGGCTGAGACATAAACAGCAGCTCCAGCCAGCCTTCCAAGTGAGGAAATTACATTTTGAGGCTGGATGGGATTATAGGAACAGCCTCTTTGCAGCCGGCGTGTTCACAGAACTGAGCGAACTTTCATTTCTGCCCCTTGCCTTGACCAAAGCTTAAGGGCTCGTCACCGCTCACTCCTCCAGTGCCTGGTGGAGCTGACAGGGACAGAGGGGCCCATGTTTTCCTGCTGTGCAGTGGGAATGCAATTTGCAGTGGGTAGCTTGTTTTCATATCTGTGTCTAAGGGATGAAAGAGAATAAATTCTGCCTGGATGCACATGTCCTGCAATTGATCTTTCAGAGTAATCTGAGATTACTCTGAAAAGTTGCCATGATTTTTAACCCCAGAAGGCAGGCCTAAACTCTGAAAATGTTTGGGTCCCCATTCCTGTCAACAAGTGCTGGGTGTGGAGATGTCTCCAAGGGTCATGAATAGTCGGCAAATGGTTTGGCAGGCGTGTTTCTTGCTGTGTGACAGTCTGAGGTTGTTGGTTGAAGCCCTGCCAGAAGCTGGGCTGCCTGTGCCTGTGGTCGTGGTTCTGTACCCAGGAGTGTGTGAGGGATGATGGGCTGGCGTGGCAACCCCATTTCATTAGAGGTGAGGTTTGGGGAAGGCTTTTGGTGGCCGTGGCAGAGAGGAAGGCCTAGCTCAGGCTGCCTGTGGGGTTGGTGTGGATGCAGTTGCTGTCCTGTTTGTGTTTTGCCATGGCTCCCAAGGCGTGGGGTGCTCAGGGTGCTGGGTGTCAGCGGGCACAGGCAGCATTCCTAGAGCAGGGGCTGTTCAGCAGGGAGCGCATCCCTGGAGGAATGTGAATTGTTCTGCTGCTGATGTCTTTCTTCACCATGCAGTAACTTTGTAATTAATGTGTTAGCTGGCTGCCAATTAACAAGCAAAACCCTTTTGGCTGTTGATTGCTTTTCCACCCCCAGTATATTCCCTTTTCTCTGCTGCCTTTCATCTCTGTAGTCGGTGGGATACCTCTGCTCCAGCCATCTGCCCCTTCACTCCAGGAATTGCTGTCGTAGCTCCTGGTCCCTTCCTGGGTCAGAGCCAGCCCCCTCTGGGCTTGCCATACTGCTCCATGAGTTTTCTTCCTCCCTGCATCTCTGATCCTGCTTTCATTCACTCCTGGCTGCCTGTCCAGCTCTTTGGGATCCTCTCCCTCCACTTCAGACACCAAAATCCTGTTGCTCCATCCCAGACTCTCCTGCTCTGCTATAGCACCAACAATCCCTGGGCGCATCTCCTCCAGTCCCCTCTTTATTCTCCCTGTCTGTGGGGTGTGTGTCTCTGGCAGGATATTTATATAAATTCTTATTTGCCAGCCTGATAAAATTCCCGTTCGGAGTGGGCTGGGTGTGGTGACCCAGCTGCACAAGAGGAAATGTTTCATATCTCGAGGAGCACCGTCTGTGCCCCCCGGCAGCCCCTCCCGCCCGCCTATCACATGTAGGGCTTAATGGGCTTAAGAATTAGAGCAGCTGCTTGGTGCAGAATTTATTGACTGACTGTGCATAACGAGGGGAATTAAAATCCTAATTGGCTGAGCTGCTCCCCGTCACTTGGAGAATTTTTACTTTTCTCGGGGCTCGCTGTTTTGATCCGGCCTCCTGGCCCCTTCCCTCCCTCCTGCCTTGCTCAGGTCCACAGCCTGCCCAGAGGATCAGAGAAGGGACAAAGCTGGGGCACTGCCCCACGTTCCTCCAGGCCATCCCTGCAGGGGCTCTGGGGGACGAGCACAGGGTGCAGCTTTCACCCAGCACTGCTCTGGTCAGGCTCTACTGCACAAGAGGGATGTTAACTGTGCCTTGTGTAGCTCTGGCCACCAGACCCTCCTGCTGCATCTCCTGGGAATTGGAGCCAGGCCTCTGCTCCAGGCTCTGCTGTGGCTCCCAGAGACCATGAGAGGCTTTTCCTCCTGCATCCCTTGCTCTTGGAGAGGCTGAATGGGCACGGAAATGGCCTCACTTAAGGCTATGTCTCATTACTACATTAAGTCAACAACCACTTGAGTATCCAAGGATTTTGATCAAAGCTAGATATTGAAAGGGGGACAAAGAGTGGCAAACTTATTTGACTTCCACTTGTTTCCAGAGCCTGTTGAGCACTCGGCTGTTCTCCTCACCGGCCTGAAGTGTGTTCCTGGGAGAGCAGCCGCCTGCTCCCTGCTCCTCCCTGGTCAGGAGAGAGGCTCCAGGCTGAGGGGAGGGAGGGCAGTCCCCTCCCTGCCTGTGCCTCACCTCTGGCACCCAGGGAGGAGAGGTGAGGTGCCCCTCTGTGCTGTCCCTGGGGACAGGGACCCTGCGGAGTGACCATCCCTGAGCATGCACGGGGGACACACGTGTTGGCACAGGCACCACAGGCTGCTGGGAGCTCCAGTGTGCATGGTCCAAAAAAAGGCAAATCCAGGTTCCTGGCTGCTGCCTGGGGCTCAGTCAGGTCTCTTTAATTCCCTTTTTCCGGTGTGAGGAACAAGCCAACAGCTGTCTGGCTTCTCCTCGGTGCCTGCAGTTTCCTCTTAGGATGCGAAGAGTAATTTCCAGTGCGAGCCTCAAACTGGGCCCAGTGCAGGCTCATTGAGGGACCTGCTTCGGGTGGGGTTTGCCACTGAAAGAACTTGGAATTTTCGGGTGTTGCCCTTGCTGTGCCCAGTTCCTGTCTCTAACACAGCCCCTGTTCTGCCTCCAGCAGCCTGGCCAGGCTGTGCTCCTGCAGGATGTCAGTGCAGCTCCGAGCACCCCGAGCTGCCAGCACAGCAGCAAATGCTCTTTGGGGCTTTTTACATGGAAATCAATGGGAATTTTGGATTCTGGTGGAGGCAGGACCGAGGGGTTTTACTGCAGCTGAGCATGTCCTGGTCACCTCTGTCTCCTTAGTGCTCTGTGCCTAACGATGCTGCAGTAAAAATAAAAGTAATCTACAGTAAAGGTATCCTGGGTCCCTATTTAATGATAAAAACCCCTCAGTGCAATGAAAATAAAGTGTTAGTGAGTCTCAGCAGTGTCTACAAAGAGGGTACTATCTCTTGGATTAATATTGAGTCCCCTCCAACAATTCTCAGTGTTATTTGCAGAGGGCTGGAAAACAGCAAGAGGAGCAGCAGCTTTCATGTGGTTTTTTTTGCCTTGCAGGCACGTCTGGGCGTCGTCACTCTGAGCTGAATTAGACCTGTCTGAGCTTTCACCGTCCTGTCACAGAAGAGGCAAAGGAGGCAACAGGGCTCAGAGGTACTCCTGCTTTGCATTAAACCCCACTTTTGTTACCATGCTGGAAACCCTTTGGAAATATGAAAGCAGCAACCTGTTCTCGCCGTGGCTGAAAGGCCATTGAAAGGCAGAGAAACCCCGAGTTTAAGGGGGGACGTCATGGTGAAGGCAGAGTGCAGCATGGGAATCTGCATTCAGGAGGGAGGAAAATGAGGGATTTGGGCAGAGAATAACTGATAGGTGCTGTGAATTCATTAAAAACAGGCTATAAAAGATACACTACAAGGTTCTAGTGACAGACCAACAAAGCTTTTTCTTCCCCTTCATTGTTTCTACTGTCACAGGATCCTCACAATAGCGGATAGTTTAGCCTTGTACTCCACGGTTCATTATCTATTCTTCTATTTATTAATGCATTCTTGGGTCTTAGTGATGTGATAAACCATCCATGCTTTTCTTTTGTGGTTTAATAGGATTCTTCTGAAACCCCCTCCGTGTTTACATAACCTTGCAATTCACAGTTATCTATCATTTATTTCCTACTTCGTGCACCCTGGGTGGAGCCCAGGGGCGTTGGGCCCACGGGCTGTCTGGGGCTGTGCTCCTCGGAACAAAGGTTTCCACAAAAACCAGGGGCTTTTCGGGAGGGCTGTCCCTCTGCAAGGGAGAGAGGGAATCCAGGTTTGGGGGCACTGGGAGGGCTCCTCCATCCCTCTAGGAGCAGGGGTTTGTGAGGGTCTCAGTGGGTCTCCCGTGCGTCTCCAGGCAAAGGGCCGGGGGGCTCCCGTGGAGGGGCTGAGCTTGGCTCCAGTGGGCAATAACCACGTGGGTGCTTCCTCTGGGAAAGGCTGGGGCTCCCTTCCAGGAGCTTGGCTGCTGGGATGATTTGCTGGTCAGCAGAGCTGGGGCACAAACCCCTTTTTGGGCACGGGGGTGGCATCCGGAACTTTCTTCATTAAACACCCTTTGGAGAAGGGAGCAGCAGCATTACTGCTGGGCCACTCTCCATCAGGGGCAGAAAATCATCTAAATATGACACCAAACCTTTATTAACCATACCGGGAACTGGATGTGAGACCTCATTTATGATTTCATTCATAATCCCTTCAAAATGAGTTGGTACCAGTATGTGATAAGTGGATTATGTGTTAGGCCCAAGTAAAGCCAGACACAATTAGTGCTTTAATAAACCGGTTGTATGCATTACTAACAACTAAGTCATAAGGGAATTGGTGTATTTACAAACCCTAATTAGTAGTTTGTTACTGTGATACCAAATTTAAACAAATCTGTAGCATCACTGACCATCTGGGTTAGAAATCTCTGTTTTGAATTTAATTAGGAAATAGTTGTGACAGAAAATTGGTCCTTATTAGTTAGCTAACGATCAGCATTGCCCTAATTGAAATGAAGAACTGGCTGGCGGGTTTGTGAGATGTTTAGATACAAGCAGAGACAATCAAAAAATCTTCTCTCACTTAGGACTTTGTACGCTGTGATGATTGATTAAATAACATCCCCCTGATATTTTAGCAGCTGAAATGCAAATGACCCAGTTATGAGTGTGCATGATAAAAACCTGGCAATTAGGGTTGTGCATTTCTGGGTTTGCTTTCAAAACTGGTTGTGAGGGAGCTGGCCTGGGCTGGGCGGTGTGGGTGCTCCCGGGGGCACTGGCTGTGCCTTCACCTTCCTCCCCCCTGAGGAAGGGCATCTCCCATCCTGGAGCAGAGCCAGGCTGCCATTGCTGGGGCTTTCTCAGGAGAGCAGCTTGGCACTGCCACGGCACAGCCCAGCCCAGTGCTGGCAGCCCTGGGTTTTGGTGGGAGTTGGCTGTGCCCAAACCTGCAGGTCTGGCCTGTGCCGAGCAGGTTGTGGGTGTTCAGTGGCTGATCCTGGCTCGTTTCCTGGGAGCACCCCCAGGGCAGAGGTGAGCATCTCAACCTTGCCACCAAAATACAGACAGTGCCTTTAAAACACAGGCCGTGGTTCTTAATGAATTTGCACTTCCTCCTTTTATAGTTCTGCACAGGACTAGGGATGTCAGGATTCCTGGTGAGCTTTCCAGATGAAAGGAAACACACACTGGCAGTAACACACAGCCCAGTGCTGCTGTTGGAGCAGCACTGGATGCCGAGGAACTCTTTCTGTCTTGGAACAGACAATGAAGTTTCTGTAGGGGCTTTAAATCACTTAATGTTGAAAGGAATTCCCCGACGGCTTCATCAGTCACTGTGTAAGATTGTTAGAGATCTCCACCAGCTAATAAATTTGATTTGGGGGTTGTTTTGCTGGCATTTGCACAAACCCTCCGAGAACTATAGTTACTGTATTCCCATACAGTATCTGAATTCCGAATTGAGATGCCTGTTCCCCTCTCCTCTGGGAGGGGAAATAAACCTTTGCCATAGAATATGAATGTCGGTTGTTTTTCTTTGTAAGCCGGTGCATTATTGTTTGAGGAGATATAGTGTTTGACAAAACCATTTATTTTGCTTCAAATATTTTATTGAGTAATAAAACTCGTTTACACTGCTGCCACATGTGGGGATTTGTGCCTGTTAGGATGTAAGGGAGGTGAGTAAAGGAATGGAAGCCTTGCCACGTGTCCCTGGATGCTGCTGGTCCCTGCCCTGCTCTGTGAGGCTGTGCCTGGGGAGCTGTGCAAGGCAGGGAGTGCAGAGGGGCTGCGCTGAGCCCCCCAGCCCTCACTGCCTCACCCAGGGAGCATCCTGCAGGCTCAGGCAGAAGTGCTGAAACATAAAGGCCGTGTTGTTTCCTGGGCCGAGTAGGTTTTTTCCTACCCAGCACTCACAAGTTTATCATGAATGACCCCTTTTCATGGATGTTCCCGTTCTGAATGGGAGAGAAGCAGCGTTTCAGTCTAGAAAAATCCCCTGTAAGCAGAGCCAAGTGCAGCTGAAGGAGGGTGTGAGCCAGGAGCCCTTGTCCGTGGGCCGGGGCTGAGGGGGCTCCGCTGGCAGGGCCAGACGTGCAGGGCACGGACGGTCTCTCTGCATGGAAACCCTCTGCTTTCCCTCACTGGGCTCTCAGGAGCTGGGCTGGGGTTCAGCAAGGCTTGCTTCCAGCCCTGTTGTGTTTTGCTCTTTCCTCGGGCTCCCTCTCCTGCCTTGGCATCTCTCCTCTGCCCAGGGGACAGGACTGGGGGCACGATGCCCTCGGAGCTGTGCGGAGCAGCCCAGGTGGGAAGGGATTTGCCCGAGGGGAAGCCAGCAAACACTGGCTTTTGATTTTTGCAGTGTTTTGCTGCTTTATGCCTCTGTTTTACATAAAGATGTTCTCTTGAAGGGATCGTGGTGAGTAGAAAGGGTTGAGTTCCCTGGTTTTGATGCGATTGGAACTGTCCTCTCCTTGGGTCGCCCATGGGAAGCCCCAAGAGGGTCCATACAGGTGTGCTGCCGTAGCCCTGCACCTCAGGGTCAGGTGCTGCTCCCACAGCTCCTCTGGGGGAGCAGTGACAGCCCCCCCGGCACGGGCTGGCAGCTCCCGGGGCCGGCAGGGCCAGCTCGTCCTTCACCCACCACCGGCTCGGGAGTGACACTGATGGTCTCCAGCGAGGAGCCCTCCCGTCCACCCCCCCGCGAGCAGGATGACAGCTGCCACGAAGCTTTTTGAGGGGGGATAGGGTTTAATGCCCTGGAAAATCCAGGACCCCGTGGAGCATGCAGAGGATTCGCAAATGGGGCGCGTGGCAGGCGCGTGTCACCCGCAGGGCGCGTCGGGAGCGTTCGCTGTGCACAGCAGCACGTGGGGCTGGCGTTTCCTCCAGACCTGGGTCTCATCCCCTGGTGATGTGACGTGTCCTCGTCCTGCACAGTGTCCCTCGGGCCGTTTGCTTCAGAGAGCTCCCCCCAGGCACTCTGGGTAGTGCAGGTGTTTTGAGGCCAAGCCACAAATGTTGCTCACCCAGTTTCAGTGTTTGCTGTGTACATTCAGCACCACTTTCAGCTCCCCCCCGGAACCACTGTTTCTTTCAGCCTGGTTTCAGTTGTTATGGGGCCCGGGGGCTTCCAGGCAGGCATTTCCCATCACTCCAATGCTGGGACGTGCTCCTTCTTTCCTGAAAAGGTACCACAGGTTTTGGGTGCCTGGTGGGAGTCACCTTGAGCACGAGTGGGAGGCCTGTCCCGCCTACATGTTCAGTATTTGGGGGGCTGTTCTTTTTCCTAGACTTTGCTGCCAAAACCAGCACGTGAGGTTGTTTGTAGGTGGGTTTTGGATATTTATTTTGTGCTTTATTGGCCTGGAGTGAGTATTTGTCTGCAGGCCACATTACCTGTAGGAAACAGTCTAGGATGCACAAATATGAGGGAAACAGGGGGTGCCACCTGGGCAGCAGTTGCCCTTTTGGGAGAGATTTTGGTCTTGTTTTAAGAAGATTTATCTAAAGGGGAGGTTTGGAATTGTTTCCTTGGTTGGCGCCCTGAGCCACGTGGTTCCCCTCTGTATCCGTCTGCCTGGCAGGGGTGGCTGGAGGCACGTCCTGGTGCTTTGAGGGGTCTTGGCCACCACCAAGTTTGTCACCAGCTCTCCTGGGAGATGGATGAAGGCACTGCTTTCCCATGGCTTGTCATTAGTCCTCGCTCTGGAAAGGCTTAGCAATTCCTACCCGGTAAATTATGTGCCATTCCTCAAAAAAGTGGATTAAATAAATGGGGCTAGAGCATGTCTTTTTTGCCCTGAGCTTTAACGTATTGATTTGGACATATTTCCAGGCCGGGAGTAATCAATTCTCGGGCAGAATAAAATAATTTCAGGCAAACTCTTCGAACGACTTGTCATTAATTTGCCTTTTGCCGGCGCTGGTTGGGGCCGGGGAGGGACGCGCTCTGCATCCTCGGGAGCGGGGCCCTGGGGATCTCCTGGGGCCGCCGGGAGGGAGGGAGGGGGCCGCCGGGGCTAATGAATGCGCCGTGTTTGCTCATCTTTACAGAGTCACTTATTACTGCTAATTGGGAGGGACAGTTCAAACAGGCACAGAGGAGCAGTTGTTGCGGGAG